TTTAGCGTATCTATGTTTGAGGAAATATTTACAAATTACGTCATTTAGCGTATCTACGTTTGAGGAAATATTTACAGTTACGTCATTTAGCGTATCTATGTTTGAGGAAATATTTACAATTGTATCATATCTACGTTTGGCATTAGATTTTGATAAGTAATATATGATATGCTAATTTTTTCATAGTCTAGTAAATATGCTTCATAAAGTATTTAACATAACAAAAGGATGAACTATAATAATCAGATGGAAATTATAGATTAAGTGATATTTTAATTGATAATTTGATCAATTTTATCCGGAAAAAAAAATGATAATATAAAATAAATGAAACAAATTATTAACCAACCAAATGATAATTTTATTTGGTCTTTTTTTTTCCATTCACATTTGTTATCAACGATAAGATAAGAATTTTTTTTGTAATTATTAAAACAAAATATTAATATCATTGTAATTTTATTTTCCTAAAATTAGAAATGAAAATGTGAGAAATTTACAAAATTTTTTCATTCCAAAATAATCATATTTGAATTCGTTTAATTTTATATTTAATTATTTTTACGTAATATAATAATTATTTTTTTATAATTTATTCTTATAGCTTTCTTCAATTTACTCTTCGTGTATTAGCGAATATATTAGTTTTTGCGATGCAAGCTGGATCAGTATGGGCTATTCTTGCTGTTAGCCAAATTACAACAAAGACAAGTTTTATACAGCGAGTATGAGTTTATTGTATATTATGAAATTTTACAATTTAAATTAAATAATTAAAATTTTTAAAATTTTAAAATAAATTGAATTATAATAAATTAGATTGAATAAGTTATATTTTTGTCGTTTAATTTGCTGTTTTTTTGATTTGATAAAAAATGAATGATTGAATGATAAGATGGAAAGTTTGTTGTATTTTTTTCATCAATCATATATTATTAGTTTATTATAAAAGAAATTTTTTCTTTTTTTTAAAATGTATTATTATTTTATTATAAAAGAAATTTTTTTCATTTTTTTTTAAATTTAAAATTTCAAATTATTAAGAAATAAATTATTTTGATACATTTATAGAATGCAGTATCAATAACGGTCTCATTTATCACTTTAACATTTCCAAATTTTTTCGATCTCATCAGTAAAATGGAACGATATCATCCACGAACTGCTCTTCGATTACAATTAGGAAGGTATTCGTATATATTTGCCTATTTAATTTTAAATTATATTTGCCTATTTAAGTTTAAATTTTTATTTAATTTTAAATTTATTGAATAAAATTATCATATATATCTTTTATCAGTTACAATAAATGATAATTTTGTTTTTTTTTCCTTTAATCTTATTTTTTTCCTAAAACTCATTCAAATACAGTATATTTGATGATATTAATATTTGCATTAATGTACGAATAATCATATTTAATTGTTAATTTTATACATTGATAACATTTTCTCGTAGTGATAATAGCAATAGTTTGGTAATTTCTTTCGGTTCTTATCAACTGTTAATTTTAATTAGTGATAATTTGCTTATAATGATAATATGTGTCAAATATTATTTCATTATTATTTTAGGGTTTTATTCCTCTACATATTGAATTATTATACACTTATTATTTCATTGATGTTCATGTTGAATACAATGGAAAATCAACGAAATGTTGGTGAACATCTTATTCCGGTTCCGCAATATTCCGATTATCATAATAATAATAAGGGACCGGTTTACAACACTTCCTATAATCAAATTATTAAACAACGGTTCCTTTTAAATTATATTTTTTTTTCATTTCTCAGCAAAAAAGAAAAACAAATTAAATTCAGATTTAAAATACAATTTTCATTGTTGTTTATTTTTCTGTTGAAAATTAATAATTTGAAATTTCTATTTCTAATTTAGTTTGTATTTTTTATTTTTAATTAAAACAAATTTTTAATTAGAAATAAATTCGATTTACTTCTATGAATGCTTCTTACTTTTATTTCTATTAAACTTACTTTCTTACAATCAGAATTACTTCTTTGGATATTATTATATTAGTAAACAAATAATTTCAAAGAAAAAAAAAGGCAAAGCAAAAAAAAATAATTTGAATACTTTAATTCGAAACGTTATAATTAATTAATCATTAATAGCGTTTTTTTTTTTTGAAATCTACCTGAAAGGTTTGTATTTTAAATACTATAAATTGAATCTTTCTGTGCGAGAAAAAGAAAAAAAGGACAAAAACTATATTTATTTTAATTATCAATGATACTGTATTATTATTAGAATTGGTCGTCAAGTGGTATTCGATTTTCCATCTGTAGCATCATCACTTTTCAATCGTAGTAAATTTAATGACATTCCAACAACGCCATCTTCTGGTAAACCATGGACAACTGTTAGTTTATTTTTATTATATTTTATAATTATAATTGTAATATTGTAATGAATAATTATTAACATTATAATTATACAAATGTTTGTTATGGTTTAATTCGAAATTAATTCTTGATTATTCAAAAATGATTTTTGATATTACTTAAAAAAAAAAAAGAAGAGAGAGAGGAAGATAAATTCAACCGTATTATGTTTATGATAACAAATTTAATAATTATCATTATAATTTTGAAATGATTATTATCAGCATTATATTTTATAATTATCATTATAATTTTGAAATGATTATTATCATCATTATATTTTATAATTATCATTATAATTTTGCAATGATTATTATCAGCATTATATTTTATAATTATTATTATAATTTTGTAATGATTATTATTATCATTGTATTTTATAATTATCATCATAATTTTGTAATGGTTATTATCATTATGATTATCACAAATTTAGAATTAAATTTCTTAGAGCATAAATAGTAAACGTTTGATTAAATTTATCGTCATGCAATTAATTATTCTATCAACAATAAATATGTACTTTTTTTTTATTTTGATATTTATAATAGTCAGTAATTAAAATAATGATAATATTTTTTCTATTATTATTATCAACTTTTTTTTTAAACGCATAAACATACAACAAACTGATTGTTGGGATAGTTATAATAAAATTAATCATAATATTTTCATCATGATTATTACATGATTTTCCCTTTTTGATTTTTGATCTTTAATTTTTTCTTTTCTTTTTTTCTACTTATATGATAAAACAATTATCATATCAATAATTTTGCTTTTTTTTTGATACGAAATATGCATGCTTAGATAGCTTTATTTGTAATGGATTTAATTTATTCTTTTATTTATTATCGTAATTAATTATAATAATTTCTATTATAATTGCATAAATCTTTATCATAGCATTGTATTATTTCAAGGTTTTTCCAAATTTTGGTCCACTTGGTATTACAAATCCAAAAGCTGTTGTAACCGAAAATCGTCGTGGTCTAATGAATGCGAGTACATTTGTCGCATATCCAATTGGTAATACTGATTGGACAAGAAATATTTCTGCTAGACCGACATTTTTAAATTATTCTACTACCGTACAAGCGGTTTTATCAGCAGCCCGCTTATCCACGGATTGGTATGAAGAATGCTGGGAAAATCTCATTGGAGAGGTTTGTCATATTCCTTTTTTTTTTTTTTTTGTTAATTATTACTAAAATTGAATCATTTGGTATTACATTCTCATTATTCTGCTAAACATTTATCACTATTGTCATTGCAATATCATTATCAATCATTTACAAATATGTTACTTATACGGTTGTTATCATCAAAATGATTATGATCATCTACGATTGTTATCATCAAAATGATTGTGATTATCTTAATTACTAATTATTATATAGAATTTAAAATAATTCTGAATGAAAGCAATACTTGAGCATTTAATGATTTCCGTCGAAATAGTACATAATTAAAATTGTATGATTTGAGTAAAACAGTACTTGATCAAAATTTAATGATTTCAGTAATTTTAAAAAACAATAAAAATTAAAAAAAAAAGCAAAATATCTAATGGCAATAAAATGAACAAAATATTTGAATTGTTTTTCATGTTTAATGAAAAGGAATTAAAAAAGAAAAAGGGAATAATATAAGATAGGAATTATTAAATATAAAATAATTTTTAAATAAAACAGTACCTGCTGAAAATTTTAATTCAAATAAATAAATAAAAAAACAAATTAAAGGAAATAACAAAATTGGTAACGACTGATTTGGTGATGACAATTGCATCCATTTTGGTGATTGATTTTCTTCGAGCACTTTGGGTTCGATATACCAATATTTGGTGGTTTTGGAATTTAGAAACAACTTTCGTATGTTTCACTTTATTCTTATCAATATTTAAAAAATAAAAAACAAAAAAACAAAAGAAAAAGTAAAAATTCTAAAATTTTATAATTATTTAAATTTTTCCACAATTTGAATAAAATTTATTAATTGCAGCCAGAATATGGTGAATTTAAAGTTGCGGAAAATGTGCTACATTTAGTGAATAATCAAGGGATGATATGGTTGGGATTATTTTTTGTTCCTATGTTACCAGCTATTAATAATATTAAATTAATTATTCTAATGTACATTAGAGGTTGGGCTGTAATGACCTGTAATGTACCAGCTCGACAAATATTCCGTGCATCCAGGTTTGTTTAATATAATTTAGCAATATTTGCTCTCCTTTTTTTTTGGCTTTATTTAAATATATTTTATTCATTTTATTTTAATTTAAATTTTAGAATTAATCCTTCCTTACTTTTTTTTTGTAAATTAATTTTCATTATTACTTTGTTAATACGATGTTTTTATTCGTTTTTTTTTGGCTTTATTTAAATATATTTTATTTTAATTTAAATTTTGGAATTATTCCATTCTTACTTTTTTTTTTTCTTTTTTTGTAAATTAATTTTCTATTATTACTTTGTTAATATGGTGTTTTTATTCGTTCTTTTTTTTTTTTTTGCTTTACTTAAAGCATATTTCATTACCGTTTTAATTAAATTTCTAATTATTTTGAGAGAAAATTAATTTTTTATATTTATTGTTTTAATTTTCAGATTTTTCATTGATGCAAATAGAATATTGTATAAAATCGTTTGTAAAAAATAAAAAAAAACCTTCAAATTTTTTTTTTGTAATTTCAAAATTTTTCCATTTTTTTTTTTTTTAGGTCAAGTAATTTTTATTTGATGCTATTATTGCTTATGTTATTCCTTTGTACTCTTCCGGTAGGTTATGTAATCGCTTCGAAGAAACCATCCAAAATATGTGGTCCATTTGGGTTTGTTTCCTTTCTTTTTTTTTTTTACAATAATTTTTGATTGTCATTTTTAAGAAAAAAAAAAACTAAATTTGAAATTTAACACGTCAAATTAAATTTTTCCAATTATATTTTATATTTAATTTCAATTTTTAGAATAATAACTATTTTTTTTATTTTAATTTTATCCATTTTTTTTTTCTTTAAAAGCACTTTTTCAACTAATCCATTTTGGAATAATATGATTAAAAAAAAAAGAAAAGTTAAATTCAAAAAAAAAAAAAATTTTTTATTTCTATTTTTTTTTTTTTTAAAAAAAAAAAGGAAGTATTATTAGATGATTTCAGAAGTCAGGAACGTTTCTACAGTGTAATTGTACAATTACTTGATCGTAATTTAACAAAAGGCCTTTTTGATGCGATCAGATATATGATATCACCGGGTATTGTTATTCCAGTTTTATTACTTCTCCTTTTAACTATATATTTCCTTTTTGCTCTTGTACGTGGTTTACGTGAAGCAAATACGGATCTCACCAAGCAATTATTACACGTAAGTTATTTTTATCCCTTTTTTTTTCCTTTTTTAAGCATCATTTATTGTTTCAAATATACTTTTTCATGAAATTTTATAATATTTTTATTTTATGAAATAAATTCAAATTACACATACTTTTTTTTTTTCTAATATTTCTTTAAATGATAAAATTAGGAAACAAAAAAAGGAAGAAAAAAAAAAGAGAAAGTGGAAGAATTTTTAATTAACAATATTAGTTTTATATTTTATCATTTAAGAAATTTTCTAAAATTTATTGTCGTATTTTCTTTTTTTTTATTTAGGAAAGGACGGAGGAAAAAAACGAATTTTTGAATTAGCTGGTGGTGGAAAGAAACGTGTAACATCTAATAATCCAGAAATTTCACATCCTATTTTACATACCAGTAAAGTAGGTGATAATATTGCAACGAATAAAATTATTAATACAATGGTTAATTTTTCTTTATTATCTTTTTCTTTTTTTTTTTTTTAAATTATATTTTGCATAATTACAAATATTTATGCTTTATTAAATGTTATTTTCATATAATATTAATGGTTATATATATGGTTTTTTTTTTTTCAGTTGACATTGTTTTTATTTTTTCTGCCACATAATTTACGCATTTTATTCAACAAAATTTTTCCTGTATTATTTAAAATGTCTTTAAAAAAAAAAAAGAGGCAAGAGAAAAAAAATATTACTATTTTTTTATTTTTTTCAAATTGATCATAAATTTTATGATATAAACATTTAAGTTACTCTTAGTACGAGTAAAAGTTTAAAAATGTAATCAAGTGTAAGTAATTAAAGAATAATTTTATTCATAATGTAAATTTTTAGGATGATGAAATTTCACCAGATCGATCGTATAAAAGAAGTAATAAAGATTTACATAGTTATGTTCCATCATTAAAGTAAGTTATTTTATAGTATGAAATAGATGAATATGTTATATGATGTAATTTAATGATAGAATTTTATGATATGATAATATTTTAATATTTTATTATATCAAATTTTTCATCAGAAAATATTAAATAATCGATTAAATTATATTTGCGTCAAAGTACAGGAATTGAATGTTGAATTCATATTTTGATTAAAATTATTAGAATTACTCCAGTTATTCATTTATTTTATAAATATATTTTAAACATAATTATATATGAATATCCAGAAAATACGAATTTAAGTATCGAATATAACTGATAACTGTTTAAATTAAATACTAAATTAAATGAATTATCGCCAAGCGAAATTTTATACTTGAAAGATGTTTATTCCTCAATGATGATATTATTTAGAAGTGTTAGTGAAGCGGAGCATTCAGAATCAGATGACGAAAAACCGGAACAAAAATTGAAGCAACAGCAAAAAAGACGATAATAAATCCGATACAATTGAAGTAAAATATAGTTGGAAACAAAAAATCATCGCTTGGCTTGGTTTTAATAAAAAACCCAAAAGGTTAATTAATGAAAATACTATGCAAAAATAAACAAAATTAATGGATGAAAAATTTTAAAGTTAAAAACTAAATTAAAAACTGATTCATAAAGCTAATTTATAAAGCTAATTCATAAAGCTAATTCGTAAAGCTAATTCATAAAGCTAATTTATAAAGCTAATTCATAAGCTAATTATAAAGCTAATTCATAAAGCTAATTTATAAAGCTAATTCATAAAGCTAATTCGTAAAGCTAATTTATATAAAGCTTTATTGGAGTAAAAAAGAATCGCGAGAAAGTTTGATCAACTATGTTAGCAAAAATTTCTACTTTTTTTTTTTTTTTTTAAGACCAAGCAAATTTCATTTACAACATGATCAAGATGATATTGAAACGGGAAATGAATCAATTATATCGGAAAAAAAATCCATCACAAAATCGGCAACATTCGATGATCAGCAATCAATGATATCAATTACCGAATCATGCTTACATAGCAGGTTAATGATTAAATTTTATGTTTGGTATTAATTAGAACTATTAATTAAATAGCAAGTTAATGATTAAATTTTATGTTTGATATTAATTAGACGCGTTAATTGCATAACAAGGTTAACTGATTAAATTTTATGCTGAATGTTAATTAGAACTATTAATTACATAGCAGATTAATAATTGAATTTTATGTTAGATATTAATTAGAACCATTATTTTTTCATTTTTATTATTTTATTTCAAAGATTAACAGCATTTGCATTCTAATTTTTTCTTTTTTTTTTTTTTTTTAAATTTAGCAAATTATTGTTTCTTGCTTTTTAAAAAAGAAAAAATTTTCAAAATACTTTAGAAACAATTTTTTTCAAACAATTATTTAATGAATACTGATTGATTTTTTAAATAAAATCATTATTCCAGTTCTTCATCAGAAAAATTAATTGGTGAAGATGAAAATGAAATAAAAAGTAATCGAAGCGTTTTGCTTACTATTAAAAAGTAAGACTATTATTTTATTTTGAAATTTTTGAAAAATATTTGAGTTCTAATAATTAATTAATTAATTAATTAATTAATTGCTTCTATTCACTTCATGTAACATTTAATATATGTAAATGAAATAATATATTGCATATTATCTTATATGCTTTGTTGGATTTTTACTTTTTTTTTTAAGGAAAAGTTTAAAACTTTATAACAGAATGCTACTTTATGGAAATGCTTTATGGGAATAATTTTGCTAGCTATTAGAAAATGTTACTGTATTAGATCAACTAGACTAAGATTAAAAAATGTTACTGTATTAGATCAACTAGGCTAAGATTAAAAAATGTTACTGTATTAGATCAACTAGGCTAAGGTTAAAAAATAGTTAAACTGTTTTAAGATTTCAACTAAGT